AATAGCACTTGCTGTCCCTGTTCATGGTAACTTATTGGACAGTCTATCAGTGTGAGACTTTATGCAGATGTGATGATTCCTGTTTGGTCCAAGCACCTCTTTAGCATTCTTCCCTCATAATTTCTTCTACTTGAATAAAGGGAGAACCCTTGCTTCCCCACTTACAAGTTGCTGCATAGGTGAATATGGAGAGTTCCTCTTTGAGGGAATCTTAACTGTTATAAGATTGAGTAGATGCACCCCTTTCAATCAGAAAAAATGGCTAGGGTGTTACCTGAAGGGTAGTACAGGCCACTCCACTACCCTATGAGCCAAACTTTTCCTGGAGGGTAGGCCAACTGGAAAGATCTTGCATTTGCCTCTGGATGTAGGTCTAGGATGTTTCTCTTTGCACCTGTCTATTCTAGGTGAAATTTCATGAAGGTATTTCTCACATATACAGCCACACTACACACCCATATACAACTGACTTTCTGACTGGTGAGCAGTCTACATTCTGCCCACCTATGCAACACTTTGCCACATAGAAGTTTCTTTTGACAGTAGCTTTTGCTCTACTATCTTTATTTGGCAAAGAATATTCCATGAGAAGAATGTGGTCTCTCACCAAATGATGCCCCACTAGATTTCTCTCACACCTATAGTGGATGACATACTCTGTAAGTTTTTCCCTTTTTGATGTTACAATTTCAGAAAGGAACTAATTTTTTAATATATTTATCTACACTGGTCCTCTCCACCATCTTATCAGTTTGGGATTCTGACTATCAGTTCTGTGGAGAGGTGAATAACATTTCTTTACCTGAAAATTTATCTTGTTTGTTAATGAATCTCAAGCGAGAATGAGCTGGGCATGTTGCCAGAATTGAAGACAACAGACTGCCTAAGATTGCTGTACGTAGAAGACCACAAGGTAGGAGGCCATGAAGAGTTAATGTAGTGGAGGATGCCTTTGATTTTGGTATAGACGATAAAGAATGGTCAGAAGTTGCACAGGACAGGGAGAGATGGAGTGGCTATGTGAGAACAGTCGGGGCTTGACAGGCTCAACTGTTTTTGGAGTAAAGAGAGAAAATGTATTTCAGATGGATACTCACCTCTCCTTAGAAACTTCCACTCCTTCTCCACACTTTCAATGGACTTCTTTTGCCTTGTCAAGAATGTGACTGTTGAAATGTGAGTTCCTATGGGGTTTACTGAGCACAGAGGATATGTTGCCTTTCATTTGATTAAAGGCTATATTATAATGAAGATTATATCATAGGCTAGTGCAGTATACTTTAATATGCTTAGGAGTAGGAGTTTCATTCAAAGCTTGGCACAAGAGCAAGTAATTTTTCTGTCAGTGGTATGAGGTAATAGCTATCAGTTCTGTGGAGACATGTATCTATCTGAAATACATTTTCAGATAAGGAAAATATTAACATTTCTCTTTACACTGAACAGACAGTTTGATAAATTTTCTCAGTTGCAATTAATTTTTTGACTAGTTCTTTACTACTTGCTTGGTTTTTGTTTGTGTTTTTTGTACTTGAGTATGTCTGCTGCAGATATGTAATGGAAGAGTAGGGACAGAACAGTATTCAGTTTCTCTCTCTCTGCTGTAGAAGTTTCTTTTAATTTTGAGGAATTCCATAGAATAGAAATATTCCAAAAATGTGTAACTAGAAATTTCTAATACATCCTGCAAACTAGGCCACATAGTACATTAGAGAAGCATATAATAACTGTTACTGTAAAATTTCCTTGAGCTTTAATAAATAACTTTGACTTGGTTTATTGTCATATGACTTTGTTGTATAATTGAAAGACGTGGTGTGTGGCATATTGAAAAGTTTCCTTGGGTGGCAAAATAATTAGTGCTGGGCATAAGTGTGATTATGATTCTTCTTAGGATTCAACTTTGAAGAATGAATGAAACTCGGGAAAGGAATTAATTTGAATTTAACAGAATAAATTGTGTTTTGTGCACAATTATCAAAATTAATACACAGTTCAGGCTCAGAAAACTAATAGAACTTCAAACTAAGTATAGAGATACAAAATCTGAACTAAGTTATTTTAGTACTGCATAAAATACATGACATTAACTATATACATATTATTTAAATGAGATGGTTGTGAGAGAATATGAATATAACATGGGCTTAGTAGGTTCTGAAGTTCTATTGAAGGAATATTTTCAACTTGGTTGATTAGTCATGGGCTCATATTTATGAGAAATTTTAAAATACTGATATTTGTCTTGCTGTTTATGATTCATGCTATACAGTATGTTGTGCGTAAAAACGTTATAATTAGTGAAAAGGTAAAAACCAGTACATTCAATCAGGGTACATACTGTTAATACTTAAACCTTTTTGGAAATTATCTAATGAAAATAGGAAAACTAGCCATTTTGCTTTTATCCTTTTCAATAACTTGCAAATAAGAAAATGTAAAACATTTTCCTCTGCTATTTTGTGTTCCACGATTGTTGAAATAAATAAAATGAAAGTAGCATTATGCTTGCAAGACTATTTTGGGCACCCTGTGCACTCGTGAAACTTTTTTACTCGATATTGCCAATATTCAAAAATCACTGATCATGTTGCATAATGTTTTAAGCATGTATGACTGTTAAGATTGATAATGAATGTATATTTCTATTTAATTTGAGCAATAATTTATTAAGCAGTGTATGTATACACACATACACGTGTGTGTGTGCATGTTTGTAGATTTACTGTAACAGGTTCTTTACATGCTAATATTTCATTCTATGTGTGATGGTACTTAAACCATACGCAGCAGAAATTGCAGAAATTTGCTTTTCTTTAAGAAGACCGGGAATTTAACTAGGTGCCTCAGTGGTGAACATAAGGAAAGTTTTCCAAGAAATTGGCATAAATATAACAAGATGCTGTGTTAGAAGAAGAGCTGAAAATGGTTTTGTGCATGGGTTGGCCCTGTGGTAGAACTCTGAATTTTGGAGTTGGTAAGCCAGGTTCAAATCCATGTGGTATCACAAAATATTCCCCACACTTTAAGTTATGGATGCATTATATTAGTGACAGTCAATCCTTTAGAATGATGGTAGGGAGCTGGTGACTGGCTGTCTTCCCTCTCATCAGTAGCTAAAATTAGGGTTGGCAGGAATTTGCCTTTTTTCCTTGTCATAAATACAAATACAAATCCCTTTTATTACTTGCAGGAGAGTCTTATATTATAAAATCTTGTTCTTATTATGAAAAGCCTTGCCAAATTACTAATGTTAATATACTCACACCAAACAATGGGGCATTATTTTCCAGAATAAAAGACACAGCTGACTTTTCTTAGCTCTGTTCCTCCTCCTTCTCAATAAGAGATTTAGCACTTTTTATGTTAATCAAATCGAATCTGAAGGAATCCGTCCTTCATTTTGCAACATGTAAGCATAACAAGCTTCCGTTTTACCTATTTCAGCAGCTGTGAAACACATAACAGTAAATAGAAGTGTTTACCGTTTTCTTGTTTGTAAATTTTTAAAAAACAAGGATAATAGAAAAATGGCTTGCAAAGTTTCCCAAAAAAGATTTAATAAATAATGGTATAGACCCTGAGGAATTCACACTATTATTTCAAGATTTTTTTACTTTATTTTTGACTTATGCTATTAGTCATTATACTGAAAATGAGGAAGTATAGATTGTTATTTTATTCAATCGTAGTGTTTTTGAAAGCAAATAAAGTGGAATGTCCTTTTTTCTTTGTAAATACTTTTGTATGATGTTTTAGATAGAGTACTTAAGAACATAAACAGTGATATAATGTACACAATATTCAGTTTTAGAAATGTGAAATTAAAAAAGTATAGGGTTTGTTTGATTAATTGATTATGCATCCAAAATAATCAGGAAGGCATGTTGGGAATTTCACAATTACTTCTGAAATTACTTTCATTGGCCTTTTAATCATTTTGCAGTATTAGTTATGTGGAATGATTTTATCTTTATCCTTTTTTTATGTAATATCTGAAAAGTTTAAGTGAAATCTCCAAGTAATTTTCTCCCAGTGGCTCTACAGTAAGTTTGAGAGCTTATAATGCTAAAAATCAGGTTTCATTACCCGTTGTGATGTGAGCAGTACAGATGGTCTATTGTGTAGCTTTGCGTTTAACAACAAACAAACAAACAAAAACATCCAAGTAGTTCATCTAAAAAAAATGATATATACTATTGCAAAATCATAATTTTCAGATGAACAATAAAATCAAACTTCTTTAGTAGTGTTATAACTTGTAGTTGCCCAGATATTAAGTATAAAATGCATTTAAAGTAACTACACAGAGTACCCATAATGCATTACTGTAAAATTGTAGTAAAATTAAACTTCCCTAGTATTTTTATAGTTCATGACTGGCATTGAAAAATTTTTTAAGTAATTTGCCTCTGGGGTATTAAAAACAGCTTCAAAATATCTGGAGAGTAACAAATTTAGAAACATTTCATTCATCTTCTTGGTGCAGGAAAAGACAACTACTTGAAAGTAGCATTTAGCAATGACATAATATTAGGGCAGAGAAATGTAGTGATATTTGTTGTAGCCTTTCCTTGGTAATTGTTTTGTTGTTGTTGATATATTTAATATTTCAAAAATGATGACATTATATATAATTTATTGTTTGGGCTTCAAAACTAAGGAAGTTATAATAAGTATAATTTTATAATAATTTAAACAAAGTTCAAATTTTAGCCTCAAGCAGTGTAGATGTTAGATTTGATATTTTAAAATTCATTTAATAAGTTTTTTGGTAAATATAAGATATTCATATTTAAACATAAATATTCTTATTTAAAAGTAATTTATTTTACAGTTTACTTCTGGTAAATCTGTGACAGTGAAAGGAAATAATATAACAGAGAATTACTATGCTTTAAAAGAAAGGTAAAAAATGATACTTGTTAATGTGTTTAAATAACACTGATGTCAGAGTTCACCTTCATAAAATTCTTTAACTGATACAGTATTTTTCCCAGATTGGAGTACATGGAATTCGTATAGAATTTACTACAGAAAAGGGTTCAAAGAGAACAGCTACATACCTACCTGAGGTGGCTCTCGAACAAGGTATATTGAGAATGGTTTAGAACATTTTTATAGTAAGGCATATGATAAGATGGTAGTATTATTTCTTTATTTGTGATACATGAAAATATTACAGAAAGTTAACATTTTCCTAAACTGAAAATGTATTTTTAATAGGTACTTCCCACTTCTCACAAAAAAGCTTTCTTGATTTATACTGCCCTCTATTGGCACAACTGTTTGCTTGTCACTAGCCTTGATACTCCCACCTATATCTGCATACTAACATACAAATGATTATGTAGCAACCCTCCACCAATAAGAGCGCAACACTACCCCCTATCCTAATTATTGTCCTCTCTCATCTTGCTGTTGTTAATTACTTCTCGATTAGCAGTCTTATTGCATAGATGTGTTTTTACTCACAATTTGATTTACTTATCCACATGTTTTTACTTTCTTCATTTTTTTACTTTAATTATGTTGTTCTTTACCATTTTCAATCTCATTTTGTGAAGATTTATGAATTATTTTATTTATCTTCTGTCCTCTTTCAATTTCTTGATTTATCGCTCGCAGTTTCAGGTGGTCACAACTACAATTGCTGTAGCAGAATTACCAACCACGTCTAGTGGGTCAGAACCATGATTCTTGGCCCATGAAATGATGACTCTAGTCCATCAGGAGTTGACCAATTGTATGCAACAAACAGAACAAACTGATGATTTTCCTATTACAGTTTTCAATAATCAGGAAGTTTTGGATTTGGAATGCCTTTTATCCCATCCTGAATTTGCCTCTAAGTCGTGTGTTGCTTGGGGGACTTGCCCAGATCATTTTCCCCTTTGGTAGATTTGTTATCCAGGTATGTTATATTTTGTAATTATCTCCTGTTTCCTATGTTCCATCCCTGCTCTTCTCGTGGACTAGCGTTTTGGGTCGTTATTTTAGTGTTTCCTCCTTCCCTGGATATTGGGGTTCATGCAAGTTGTTTTGACGAGCATTTGCCTTCAGGGGTCAGTATGCCTCGACTCTCACATACTGTGAATGATTATGCTTTTGATTATCATATTTCAACTTCCCTTATTTAGACTCACAGTGTTGGTGTCACAACCCCATTTTCCTTTTTCTTCCTCCTTGTGTACTCATTTTTTGCCTGCCTGTTTCATTCCAAGAGCCTTCATTTCCACTGTTCTATGGAAGTATGACTGCTTCTAGCTTCCTCACAAATCAATTCAGTCCTACTTCCTCAGTTTCTTCTCGAGGACACTGTCATGGTGGGTTGGCTTGTCAAAGTGGAGCAATTTGTCCTCACACCCATACCATTTCAGTTAATCTTGGAGTGTTTTTCAACTCCCTCCTCCATCAGACCTCACCTGCTGCACTTCAGTTGAGAGATATGGAATGTCTCATATGCAGCATTTCCTCCTCTCCTTCTCCTACTGTGTGAGAGGTTCTCTCTCTTTTGAGGTCATGGATTTCTCTGAATAGCCCTCATTTATCTTGGTTGTGCTCCTGTACATTGTCATAAGTGAGTTTGGATAGACCAATGGAGCCTTGTTTGGGATCCATTAAATGCCTTCTTACCCTGCCCCCTCCCTTACAGCCTGACTTTGATTGGTGGTTGGATCGGAACATTATTTTCATGGGTGTTCCTCTTCCTCCTCCTTTTCTGGAATGTACTCTTTTTTTATGTATGCTTCCTTTCCAGTTGGAGGGTGTATCTCGATACTCAGAAGGTTTTGGGCTGATGGTTTCTTTCTGAGTCATCTATCCATATCCATCATAGAGCGTCTTGCTGTTTGTTGGCATTTCTGCGAGCTCCTGGGGGCTGGTTGGTGATAACTCACTCTGTCATTTCTATGGTAGTCTCATACATCACTGGGTAAGGAGCACTTGGTCGACAGACCTCTGTTTTATCACAGTGGTTCTTCTATGTTGAGCCCATTTTTTATCCTGTCCTGATGAGATTTTTCTGCAGTGTGTTCTTCGGTTCTACCCATTTTTTCAGGTTTTGTGCTCTGTGAGGTGTCCCAGATTTTGACATTTTTGCCACTCTTCTCAATGCACCACTTCCCTGATTTTGGTTCTCTGTTCCTTATCCTCTGATGGGAACAGTTGTTGCTCTCAGTTGGGACTTGTCAGATTGGTACCTATTTGCATATCCTCTTATTTGTCTCCTCCAATGTGTCCTTGCCATACTTTAGACCACTTTGTAGTGTTCTGCTGCTGGTTATTTATTGGCCAGCACACACGTGATTTCCACTGCTGCACCAATTTTTGGTGTCACCTCCCTTTTCTCTTTCTCTATCACTGACAATCCTCTATCAGCCACACTTTGGTGTGCATCATACATCTGTACCTGCACTACATCTTCATGTGCGGCTTTGTCCAATCCCTCAAACGAAGGGCCATATTTTTGCATGTAGCTTCTTTTGTTTTCCATCCTGTTTTTTTCTTCCTCCATGGTGGTTTACCTAAGTATGTCTTACAGGGTTATAGCCCTTCCCATGATACAGTTACTCACATACCATCCTTTTTACCTTGGATTTTTGAACAGGGCCTTGTTTCCTCTTGTGTGGGCAAAAGGGTGAAGTTGTCTGCCACTTTTTGGTTTACTGACTTTCCTTTTGTGTTCTAGTTGCCATTCTTATCCATGTTGTTTGATTCTTTCTGTTTTCCTGTCTTACCTGCCCTGCTTCCCTTCTGGAATTGCTCCTCTCTATGGTCCTTCATTTATTTTCCCCATCCTACATTGGACCTTTTGTCTTGATGTTCTCCAAATCACCTTTCCTTGTGTGAATGTTGTTGTTCTGATGTGTTCGCTTTTGTAGTTTGCCTCATTTCTGTTTTCTTAGTTCCTATGTTCTCCTCTTTCTGGATTGTTCCTTTATGCCCAAGACTTCAGCTGCTCAAGAGGGTACTTCTCCCTACCCTACTTTTCCCACCTTTATGACCATTCCAATCCCACCCACCTCCTTTGCCCAGTCAGGGCTCTTTGATGGTATATGACACGTCATACTGTGCCCTTCCATGGTTCCTGAATCTGTTTGTTTCTTCTGTGAAATCCTTGTCTCTCCCATGCCCTTTTTCCTCTTTTCTTTTCTCAGTTGAATTTGCCAGTTAATTCACTTGGCATTTTTCTTTCCTTTCTCCTGATGATTGTCACCTTTTTCATATTTTTTTCCCATCAGATCCATCATCTTACCATGTCCCTGGCTGCACATTTCCCTCTTCTCTTGGGGGACATCATCAGTGCTGTAACTGTTTATCTGTGGGTGGTAAGTACTCTGTTTATCTTCTTTTCTTTGCAAGGGCCTTTATTGCATATTTGGATCCCGTTTTGTGGCGAGTGTTGCCTGACGAATTATACTTAGTCTTAATCTGCACTGTATGACCAGTGTTCATATACCATGGTGGATGAATTTGACATTGAGGCTCTTCCTACCACAGACCTGATGTACAATTCCAGGTGCCGCCAGGTGTTGGTTGATTGACTCCTTCAGTGTGTCTTCTATGCATTGAAGTACAATATTATAACACATTACAAGGTCATGTTACACACACTGTAGAGATTAAATGTACCGCAGGACCGCTCGTAGGTATTCTTCAGGTCTGTTGCTTCATAAGTATGTTCTTTCTGTACCATATACTCATGGACTAACTTGAGTTTAGCAGACGGGGATTATTACCCATTGTTGATGATCTGTGACATTGAGACTCTTCCTACCACAGACTTGGTGTACAATTTCAGATGGTACCAGGTGTTGGTTGATCAATTCTGTTGATGAGGTTTTGGACTGGAGATGCAACCCCAAATAGCAGTCCCTCTTCCTACTGTCCTCTGGATGTCAGATCCCAGTGGCTCTAGTGTTGGTTATAGCTAGATGAGATGTATGGATTCTTGCATGTGTAAAGCTGGGTACCCTCCTCCTACCATGGTCTGGACAAAAAAAATTCTCCATGTCACCAGGTTTTGGACTTGAGAAGAACACCCACCTGGGCTCTCCACCTTTCTACCACCTGTTGGATGTCAGTTCACGGTGGATCTGGTGTTATTTGTGTTGGAGGTGTTTGCACAAAGAGGCAGGTTTTTGGTACGAGAGCTCCTCTTCCCTACTGGTACCTATTTTTGAGGTTAAAGGTAGAGGACCCTCTTCCTATCGTGGACCTGATGTACAATTCCAGATGCCACCAGGTGTTGATTGAGGTCGAACTACCATTTATAGTCTGTTGTGCCCTAGCCACTCCTCACCAGGAGGCCCTATTATTTCTGTAATTTTTTCTTTGAGTTCCTTCATGTTTCTGCCTTTTTTGTGATCTTCCACAAGTTTTTAATTCCTTCTCATATGCCATGGTTTACCTTTGGGCACTTCCTAAAGGGGGATCATTTTCTCACTGGCCTTCCATCAGTTTAATGTGGGATTCTAGATTTAATGAGCAGAGGTAAAATACTGTATCAAAAGTTAATAGAAAATGTATTTCTGATAAATAATTAACTCTTCTCACATTTCCCACCTGTCCTCACCTCTTCCAGTATGGTTTGGTGTGATCTAACCAATCTCGAAGTGATTAACAGCTGCAAGATTAGAGGGGCTGCTAGTTACAATAGGGATAGTGTAACATTCCTGTTGGTGGAGGTTACTGCATAATCATTTGCATATTAGTATGCAGAAATAAGTGGGAGTATCAAGGCTAGTGGCAAGCAAAATTTTGCACCGATAAAGGACAGTATGAGTCGAGAAAACTTTCTGTCAGGGGAGGTAAGTATCTATCGGAAATACGTTTTCAGTTTAGGAAAATGTTAACTTTCTGTAATATTTTCATGTTCTACAAGTCGTTGTTTACTTTTGTGCTGAGTTTTAAAGAAAGTGTTTATATACTGTTATATAATAAACTTTTAATGGATGTATTTAGCTTGTCTTGGAATACATAAAATTTTAGGGACATAGTAATTACACATTCATCATTCGTACAATGCATTAGCTAATAAACTTGCTGCCACCAGCAATCTGGTTAGGGTTAGGAGTCTGTATCTGTGC